AACTGGAGAGTGTAAAATCTGAGGCAGCTCTGCATAGAAACCAATCAGCTTCCAGGTTTTATTATCAAAGCTTAAAGCGGAGTTCCAGCTGAAAAAAAATTAAATTAATTCAGCAGCTACAAAAACTGTAGCTGCTGACTTTTAAAATACAGCCACTTACCTGTCCCTCGGTCCAGCTGTGTCCTCACCACCGCTGGTTTCACCAGCCGTCTTCTCTCCCTGGCGCCGGCATGTTTAGTGTGGACAAGCGGCTGTGAAAGCTTGCGGCTTCACAGCCAGGTGCCCACTGCACATACGCGAGAAGCGCAGTCCCATTCATCTTAGCCTACAGTGAAATTTCAGGTGCAAGAACCGCAGGAAAACCGCATGGTCAAAAAGACCATGTGATTTCCCTGTGGATGTGTTTTCAAAAAGGTGCATACGCCTTTTTTTGTGCAGAAATACAGGCACAGAAGCCCATTCAAATGAATGGGCTGCCTTCCCTGGAGAATTGCAAAATGCATGGTCTGCAATAGTATGAATGAGAACTCAGATTGTAAGCTTTAATAAGCAGGACCCTCTGATCCCTTTTGTATTGAATTGTTTTGTAAGTGTCTCTCTCCATTATGTACTGCATGTACACTGCACAACCTGTTGGCACTATATAACTCCTGTTTAATAATAAGATCTAAATTATTGGATTTACATTTAACTTAAGTTGGGGTGTAAAAAAAAAAAAAAAAAAAGAGGACACCAACTCTAAATCATATGCAAAATAAACTGCACACTCATTAACAGTATAATAGTGACTTGTTCTTAGTTTCTCATAAGTATCGATAACCAAAATAATAAACTTTCCTTTTCCCTAATTAACTATTGGAGGTCACAGGTAGACATTAGTCAAATAAAGAACCCAAGTCTCTGAAGTCCTGTAGACAATATGATTACATGGAGGTGTTTTGAAATCTATAAATGAAATAAAGCCAGTTACTTGGGGGGCATATATCTCAATGACAAGTTAATGATGATGTACTGCTGTGTATATACAACTTTCTCATATCTAACAGCTATGAAAGAGTCTACAACAGAGCTGATTGATGGTCTAAACAATTTATTTGATGTTTTGTCTAGACTTTTTGGGGTCTATTTATCAATGTCAGCCAGATGCAGAACTGGGGCTAAATGCACCTAATAGGTTTATCACAAGACAACACCCATAATTCCAGACACATTCCTTGCCTGGCTCTTCACCCATCCATACATTTCTGAAATGTAATTGGTAAAGAAGAGCTCCAGTCCAATATATAAAGTCACTCGAGAATATGTTTTTTGGTTTAATCAGCATAAATATGTATGTAGGAGAGAGCTTCCACCACATGAGGACCACTGCCCTTATGACATGTGGGGACTCTGACACTCAATTGCCAAAGAATTGGGATGCCTGACTTTACAATCATGTGAACTTTAATGGCATCCCAGTGTTAGCCCTTAGGGTTCAATATTGGTTGGACAACCCTTTTCAGCTATAACAGCTTCAACTCTTCTGGGAAGGCTGTCTACAAGGTTTAGGAGTGTGTCTATGGGAATGTTTGACCATTCTTCCAGAAGCGCATTTGTGAGGTCAGGCACAAATGTTGGATGAGAAGGCCTGGCTCACAATCTCCACTCTAATTCATCCCAAAGGTGTTCTATTGAGTTGAAGTCAGGACTCTGTGCAGGCCAGTCAAGTTCCTCCACCCCAAACTCACTCATCCATGTCTTTATGAACATTGCTTTGTGCACTGGTGCGCAGTCATGTAGGAACAGGAAGTGGCCATCCCCAAACTGTTCCCACAAAGTTGGGAGCATGAAATTGTCCAACATTTCTTGGTATGCTGAAGCCTTAAGATTTCCCTTCACTGGAACTAAGGGGCCAGGCCCAACCCCTAAAAAACAACACCACACCATAATCCCCCCTCCACCAAACTTTACACTTGGCACAATGCAGTAAGGCAAGTATCGTTCTCCTGGCAACTGCCAAACCCAGACACATCCATCAAATTGCCAGAGAAACGTAATTGATCTCTCCAGAAAACACGTCTCCACTTCTCTAGAGTCCAGTGACTTTTCACCACTGTTTCCAACACTTTGCATTGCACTTTGTGATGTAAGGCTTGCATGCAGCTGCTCAGTCATGAAAACCCATTCTATGAAGCTCTCTCTGCACTGTTGTGCTAATCTGAAGGCAACACAAAGTTTGGAGGTCTTTAACTATGGACTCTGCAGACGGTTGGCAATGCTGCGCACTATGCACTACAGCATGCTCTGACCCCGCTCTGTCATTTTACGTTGCTGTTGTTCCCAGTTGCTTCCACTTTGTTATAATGCCACTAAAAGCTGACCAAGGAATATTTAGTAGCAAGAAAATTTCATGCATGGACTTATTGCACAGGTGACAACCTATCACGGTACCACGCTTGAATTCACTGAGCTCTTGAGAGCGACCCATTTTTTCACAAATGTTTGTAGAAGCAGTCTGCATGCCTAGGTGCCTGATTTATACACCTGTGGCAATGGAGCTGATTGGAACACCTGAATCCAATTATTTGGAGGGGTGTCCCAATACTTTTGGCAATATAGTATATGTATCACCTGCCCCAATACTATAAAATAAGTAAATATGTGAGTTGACATTCATGGGTGGCTTCATACCAGAAGGACCATGTCTCTTCTTCAGCCAGTGACATGGATCTGTTCCTACCCATCGCAACTGCAAAGTGAAATAAAAAACAAGAAGCGCATTTACCTTGCGCATTACCTCAGTAACCAAATTTATTAATTGAAGAATGGTACTCACAAACAGCGAATAAAATCAGACATGTAGTCCTCGAAGGGACTCCAGAGATAAGGAGCCAGCGCGAATCCCATCATGGGGGTAGACACTCAGTACAGCTGATGAGTTTCGAAGGCCATGCCTTCTTCCTCAGAGCTAGCTATCTCTATTCTCTGTTTGTGAGTACCATTCTTCAATTAGTAAATTTGGTTACTGAGGTAATGCGCAAGGTTGGTGCGCTTCTTGTTTTTTGTTTCACTTTGCAGTATCGGTCGGGCTTTCCCAGCCTTGTTTGGAGCTGCATAACCTTTAAATACACTGGTGGTCGTTTTTTCTGGTTTTGGTTCCATCTACTCGCCACCGGTCTGGGCCCTAGAGTGCAAGAGAAATCGCATCTGGTCTACCCATCCCAACACCAGACTACAGAGTCATTTTGAGGCTAATGGTGCAAAACACTAGACATTCTCCACCAGTTCCTCAGCACTGCCCATTTGTCTTGCTCCAACCCATAGGTATAAAGAAGGCCAACACTCATATACAAGTCCTTGCTACATCCGTAGTCCAGGCCCTGTCCCTAGGAAAGCTGCATACCATGGAGGCCTTTAGAATAGGGACCCACCACTGAGCAGGGTATATTTAGGCAGACACCAAACTACCCTTCTGACAGCAACCTTCCATCACTGGCCATCACACTATCCCTGTCCTGAACTGACTGCTCTTCCTTCTTTACACCAGTGTTGCTCAAGCACTTGAAACACTCTTATTCACTTACACTTTGTTTCCCCCATTGCTCACACTGAGATGGCATACATGAGCTTATTTTCAATAAAGTGGAAATTTCCGCTTGTCGGTCTCCTGTCTCCATTTCTTTAAACATTTGGTACCTATTTTTTTTTTTTTGGTGGGGGGGGGGGCAAGTACCTGGTTTTGACAAGGCAATCCAAGCAGATGTTCACCCCCCTTCACCCGCAGCCTTCTGGGACACATCACAGGTTGCAAAAGACTACAGGACCATTCACAAAACGGAACATGACTTGCACATGCACAGTGGGAAACCAGCTGTGAAGCCGCAAGGCTTTATATCTGATTTCCCTTACTTAAGATGCTAGCACTAGGGACCCGAAGCCCAGAGAAGAACTGGGTTGATGAGAACAGTGCTGGATCCCCAGACAGGTAAGTGTCTTTATATTAAAAGTCAGCAGCTACAGTATTTGTAGCTGTTGACTTTTCATTTTTTTGGGGGGGGGGGGGGGACTGAAGCTCCTCTTTAAGTGACTATACCAGACTTTGTAGAATAAATGATCTTGTTTGTGCAGTCAACAATGTTGGCACAAAAATATTACCTTGCTCTTCACAACAGATATCATTTACAATCCTTTCCATTACAACAAATGACTTGGCTGTGGCAATGATTTTGGCTGTAACCATGGTTTTGGCTGTAACAAGTGTGTTTACCATTGGGAAACACTTCTAAAACACATACAGTAGCTAACAGTCCTGCATTTTCCCCATTCTGGGTCCCATCACAGGCACAACTCCTTCGTCCACTCACCGTCACATCACAGGATATATGTCCTCCCTTGCTTTCCCATTGGACAAAGGCCACCATACCTTGGGGAACACCACCCTCACAATTGGAAATGACCTCCTCTCTGGGCAACGTACCACTGCACACAATTAACCCCACAGATACCAGGCATTAAATCACACATGAATGTCGTGCCTAACTTAGCACCTGTCATCATGTACATATTACTATAAACCTTTTAACAGGTAATACAAATCTACTTTTAGTTGTTTGGCTGAGGTGGCCCTTTAATCTACAGTTGGTAACAAGATATATAGCATGAAAGTGGTCATTTGTGTGTTCCACTGAATCCTTAAGTTTAAAATGTACAGGTTTTGTGAAAATACACTCCACACAAGGTTACAAATGAAGCTCTAGTACTGTATGTATACAGAGATCACCACTTTCCTGTTCTGTTATTAAGGTTTTTGTCCAGATGTCACTGTTTTGTACCAGTCCATCCCACTCCTTGTCTACTTGTGATGCTGAAACTCCTTCTTTCTGCTGCTCACATACAAAAAAAAACTGATGTAACTGTTTCCAGTAGGAAGGTTCCCACAGACAACAATGAGTTTTAAACTTGTCTTAGATATTTGAATGAGATTGGTGATGTAAGATGAAAAAATACAGTGGAGGTATCTCAACAGGGGCGGACTGACCATTTGGATAGTCAGGCACTGCCCGAGGGCCTGGGGTCAGTAGGGGGCCCCATGAGATGCCCCTGGTACCTTTCATAGGCTTTTTTGGGTGTGGTTTGAGTATGGGCGAGGACACAGGGGCCCCATGATCCTCTATTGCCCGGGGGCCCCATGAGTAGTCAGTCTGCCCCTGTATCTCAATAAAGATTTTTGTTACAAATCTCTGGTGGAGTGCATATAGTCAGAAGCCCTGTACCAAATACATGAAAACCCTGCAAAATTTTCCATTTCGGTGCCAACACACTCAAGAAATTCACATTTTTCCTATTTGCAATACTTTTAATGTACTATTTTGGTGACAAAGGAATACCACCATATCAGTGATAAGGAAAGTGGAGATAACTAAGACATCCTCTATGCTGGAGCAAATAGTTGATTGTATTGCACGTGTAATTATTGTGATGCATCTTAGAGACATCTTTAGATTCTTCTGGAACTAATATTTGATACATTTTCATTACTCCTCCATCTTCTCCAAATGGCCTCTCTGCCTGTATAACCCTACTATTTGGAAGAAGCGATGCTTCAGATTCATATGCACTTTAGCAAACTGTACATGAATCTGACACTTGTTCCACTACCTTGAGACAGATTTCTAGAGAGTACAATACTCTTTATAAATTTCAGGGGGTATGCTTTATCACAGAGGCTCCATGACGTACATTCCTACTGACCCTGTGAGGTGGTCTTTGTGTGCTTTAATTGCAGTGGATTACAAAACTCAGATAAAGGTGAACTGAGTGAAGATTTTGATTTTATTTTTTGTATTTATATTTTTGTATATGTTGACCAGCTCTCACCTTTAGCTGCACCCGTTTTACGATTGGTGTCTGTTTCCTGAGAGAATCATCCCCCACTCCTCATGTGATCTTTATCAGCTTCTAATTGGGGTGGAGTTGAATGCTCATTTGAGCATCTCCCTATAAATTTAGATCAGTCATGGGGGAGATCTCTGATGGGGGGCACAGTCTCTGATGGGGTGCTGCTTCAGATTGAGTGCGGCTTCGAACGAGTGCATAGAAGAAGCAGTTAAACGCAGCAGTTGAACTAAAGCAGGAGAACCCAAGCAGCAGGAAGACACAACAACAGTAAGAAGCTCTACTGCATGCTGGAAGACTGCAAGCAAACACCCTGGGAAACCTCTTACATGCCTGAGACCCACTCTGTGTGCCTTTATATAATACGCCCCTCTTCTCATCATATTACTACCCTCTGTTCCCAAATCTCATTTCTCTACCCCTCTGCTCCACCCCACAACCTGTACATCTCCCCCTCACTGCTATCATCTCCCTACTACTGCTCTCTTCACCTCCCCAAAATGTCTCTTCCACTCCTCCTTCTCATTTTCCTCTCCTCCGTTCCCAAATTCCATTCACTATATCCCTCTGCCCCTCCCAAACATTTGTATATCGTGTCCTCACTGCTTCCCTCACCCCTCTATGGCACCCACCACCTCCTCCTATTACTCCACTCTCCCACTGACCCCAACACCTCCACTAGGAGTTTCTCACGCTCCTGCACATCCCGCTCCCATGCCACCTTTCTCACCCTTCTCCTCCTCCTAGCCGCGGGGGACATCTCCCCAAATCCTGGCCCTCCACCTCCCTCACCCGCTCAACACCCTCCCACTTCCACGTCCTACTGCAACCCCCGCAACTTAGTATCTGTCTCCCTGCTCCCTAAAATCTCCCCCCCGTTTTCATGTGCACTCCTGAACGCCCGTTCGGTGTGCAACAAGCTTACCGCCATCCACGACCTCTTTGTTTCCCGCTCCCTCAACCTCCTGGCGATCACGGAAACCTGGATCCAGCCCACTGACTCTACCTCCCCTGCTGCACTCTCCTATGGAGGTCTCACCTGGACCCACTCACCCAGGCCTAACGGTCGTAAAGGTGGTGGGGTTGGTCTGCTCCTGTCACCGCAGAGCACCTTCCGAGTCCTCCCAACCCCCCCCCCCTCCCTATCCTTCTCCTCCTTCGAGGCCCACTGCGTCCGACTATTCTCCCCAACCCCCCTGAAGATTGCTGTGATATACCGGCCTCCTGGATCCATACCCCGCTTCCTGGATGACTTCTCCTCCTGGCTACCCTTCTTCCTCTCCTCTGAGCTACCCACCATAATTCTTGGGGATTTTAACATCCCTGTCAACCTCGACAACCCGGACACAGCCCGTCTCCTCCACCTAACCTCCTCCTTTGCACTTGCACAGTGCATACAATCCACCACCCACTCCGACGGAAATATCCTTGATCTTGTCTTCTCCAACCGATGCGCTCCCCACAACCTCACTAACACCCCCTTCCCTCTCTCTGACCACAACCTGATCACCTTCTCTATCTCCTCGTCCTCCAACGCCTACCCCTCCAAATGTCACACTACTACCAGCCGTAACCTCCGCAACCTTAACCCTGCCTCCCTCCACTCTGCAGCTGATCAACTCCACGACCGCATCCTCCTCCCCCTGTCCTGCCCCGACTTGGCTTTGACCGCCTACAACAATGCGCTCTCAACAGCCCTTGACTCACTAGCGCCTTTAACCACACGCAACACCAGACCCCGACCGCTCCAGCCCTGGCAGACTGATCACACCAAAACCCTCAAACGACAAAGTCGTGCCCTGGAGCGACTATGGCGCAAAACCAAATCCAAACAAGCCTTCACCCGCTACAAATCTGCCTTCCGCACCTACACCTCCTCCCTCCATGCTGCCAAACAGGCCTACTTCTTGACCCTCATCAAGGCCCTCTCCTCCAATCCTCGCCGACTCTTCTCTGCCTTCAACTCTCTACTCTCTCCACCCCCACCTCCACCCAGCACCTCACTCACTGCCCTTGAGATTGCCAATCACTTCAAAAACAAAATTGACACAATTCGCAAGGACATTGCCGCAACTCACACGCCCTCTCAACCTGTCCCCTCTCACACAGCTACCCCCTTATCCCCCCTCCCCCTCGACATAACCCGCAGGGACTTCGTCGCTGCTCAAACTCTCTCCAACCCCCTTCACCCTCACTCAGCTACCCCCTCATCACCCCTCTCCCACGGCCCCACCACTGCTCTGACCTCCTCTTCCACCCCACCCTACATTCCTCATACTGAAGCTCCCCCAACACTCCACACCTTTGACCTTACTACCATCGAGGAAGTCTCCAAGACCCTCTCTGATGCCCGCCTCACCACCTGCCCCCTCGACCCTATCCCCTCACAACTCCTACGACCTTCCTCCTCCTCCATCCTACGCTCCCTCACCCACATCTTCAATCTCTCCCTCTCCTCAGGCACTTTCCCCTCCCCTCTGAAACATGCACACATCACCCCCATACTTAAAAAGCCCTCCCTGGACCCCAATGACCCGAACAACCTCAGACCCATCTCCCTGCTCCCATTTACATCTAAACTCCTCGAGCGCCTAGTCTACACCCGCCTATGCTCTCACCTCAACGACAACAACCTCCTCGATCCCCTACAGTCCGGCTTCCGTCCCCTACACTCCACCGAAACTGCCTTACTCAAACTCTCCAACGACCTGCTAACCGCCAAAGCTAATGGACACTATTCAGTGCTCCTACTCCTTGACCTCTCTGCGGCCTTCGACACAGTCGACCACCCCCTCCTCCTCAAAAAACTACACTCCCTCGGCCTCAGAGATTCTGCTCTCTCCTGGATCTCATCCTACCTGTCACAACGCTCTTTCAGCGTTACCTATAATGCTACCACCTCCCCCTCACTCCCCCTCTCTGTTGGGGTCCCTCAAGGCTCTGTCCTCGGGCCCCTTCTCTTCTCCATCTATACCTCCTCCCTTGGCCAACTCATACACTCTCACGGCTTCAACTACCACCTCTATGCCGACGACACACAAATCTATCTCTCAACCCCCCACCTCACCCCCTTGGTCTCAGCCCGAATCACACACCTACTGAGCGACATATCAGACTGGATGTCGCTCCACTTCCTTAAATTGAACCTCTCCAAAACCGAGTTTCTTGTCTTCCCCCCAGCCCGGACACCACCCCCCATTGATTTCTCCGTCACATCCAACAACGCTACCATCAAACCCGCCCTGCAGGCCAGAGTACTGGGTGTCATTCTGGACTCCAACCTATCCTTCCAGCCCCAAGTCCAATCTTTAACAAACTCGTGCAGACTCCACCTCCGCAACATCGCCAAAATCCGCACGTTCCTAACCCCAGAAACCACTAAACAGCTCATCCACTCCCTCATCATATCACGACTCGACTACTGCAACTCCCTCCTCACTGGCCTGCCTCGCCGCTGGCTATCCCCTCTTCAGTCCATCCTGAACACGGCTGCCAGACTCATTCACCTTTCCAACCGCTCTGTCTCCGCCACCCCCCTCTGCCAATCCCTCCACTGGCTTCCGATTGCGCAACGGATCAAATTCAAAATCCTAACGCTGACGTACAAAGCTGTCCACCATACTGCCCCGAACTACATCACTGACCTAATATCCAAGTACCGCCCAGCACGCACACTCCGCTCCTCACAAGACCTCCTTCTCTCTAGTTCCCTGGTCTCCTCCCATGCCCGCCTCCAGGACTTCTCCAGGGTGTCACCCATCCTCTGGAACTCCCTGCCCCAACCCATCAGATTATCACCTACTCTCCTCTCCTTTAGGCGCACCCTGAAAACCCATCTCTTCAGGGAAGCCTACCCCACCCCCTGCTAACTTGCCTCCCTCCTCCACTCTTCCTACCACTCCATCCCCCACAGCTATCTCCTCCTGTGCCACCACCCCCTCCCTCCTAGATTGTAAGCTCGAAAGAGCAGGGCCCTTGATCCCCTCATGTTTTGCATTGTATTGGTATTGTTCTGTCACATGTTCTGTCTCCCTTTGTAATGTACAGCGCTGAGCGAACTATTGGCGCTTTATAAATACTGTATAATAATAATAATAATAATAATTTTAGCACAGATGCAACAGGCTGGAATACATTAGTAGTTAATGGAGTGGCTTCCTTTGTAGCCTATAATTGTTGTCTAAATTGATTTTGTAATCTGGACTGGTAATCTGCGATTCAAGCATTTTCTGGAAGGGTTTGAGTGGAGAGCTGGATCTAGCCATTCTGATGTGGGGGCGAAGTAAATAATGTCAAGGGAGCAGAGGATGGA